CCACGGCCGCAAGCCCCGCGGGACTTCCGGCCTGCGCCGAGGCCCCCGCGGGGGCGCGCCCGGTCCTTTCGGGGCCGCCGGGAGATCTGCCCAAAGCGCCCCCACGCGGGGTCCCGGGAAACCAGCGCACGAAAAAGGAGGCCCGCCATAGCGGAAAAGCGGCTCTAAAGAGAACCCCAAGAGCGTGTCCACGCGGACCACGCCGCTCCCCACGGGGGCTCAGGCAGCTCTGCGGACTGCCTAGGGCCGGCGCGTGCGCACGGCGGCGCGGGACGGCGAGGACGTGGGGGGGCACGGCTGCCGGGGCGCGAGAGGAGGGCGGGGCGTGGATGGTCAAAGGTAGGGCGGGGCCCCGGCTCCTCGGGGGCGGGTGAGGGGCGGGGCTCCGCACTCTGCGTGCGCAGTGATAGGCGCGCGGGATCCGGCTCTGCAGGCGTGGGCGGGGCGGCCCCGGCCCCGGCCCCGCCCCGCGCAGGAAGCTGGTCCAGTTCGAGGTGCGCACTCGGCCGGCCGTCGCGGGAGGGCGTGTGGCTCGGCAGCACGTGGGTTCTGCGGCCGGCCCTCCCACGCCTCGCCGCCGCCCTATATGTGCGCTGCCCGCCCCGGCATGGAGCGCGCCGCCCTGCCGCGACGATGGAGGCCGTGGAGCTGCGCTTGCTGGACACGCTCGCCTACCTGATGGGCCTTGCGGGCGCCCTTTGCTTCCTGCTGCTCCAGCGCCTCTCGTCGCCCTACGGCCGCTACGCGTCGCAGTGGCCCGGCCCGCGGGTGCCGGCGCGCCTCGCCTGGGCCCTGCAGGAGCTGCCCTCGCTGGCCTGGCCGCTGCTCGAGTGCGCCTGCGCGTCCGCCCGGGGCCTGGACCACCTGCCCAACCGCGTGCTGCTGGCCATGTTCCTCGTCCACTACATGCACAGGTCGGCCCGGCCTGCCCTGCTGGCCCGGGTGCCACTGGGGAGGCAGCCTAGAATTAGGGCGGGGGTAGTGTGTTAGTTGTGTACCCATCGTGGGATTTGTTTCTGTGATGCAGACACCTGTAGGACGCTGGTTGTCCCAGGTCACGCTGGCCATTGTGTGACTTCTCTGTTGTTTTCCCTTTGGGGAGGCTTTTCTCCCGGCCGGTGAACCTATTCCTCTGTATGCGGCTGATCTGGGGGCAAAGACCTTAAACGTAAGTAAACATTAGCCATAGGGACGGTAAGGATGGCATTGGGCCAAGTAAACCAGCGTGGGAGCAGATGTCTTTGCAGAAGTGCTTGTGTGTTTAAGGTGGAGCGTTCTTTTGCTAGCTCGGGGTTTGGGGGAGCCTTTTGTGACCCGTTCTTACTAGCAGGCACACGTGCGCGTGGGCCCCTCCCGTGTGGCTTCCTGGCTGGCTTGGCTGGGCTTGGATTTTTCTTTTTGAACTTGAAAGAGTGACCCCTTGTCGATTCTGAGGATTTTCATGGGTGTGCCAACCTCATTTCACGATGAAATCTATCGTGGCCTGAATTACTCCTGAACCCCCAGCTCGAGGGCCCCAGGCTTTAGGCTGTGCTGGGCTATGGTGTCCACTTAACTTCGAGAGCCAAGTCCTTCCTTGAATGAATGCCATGTTGTTGGCGAGGGCAAGAAGGGTCAGGTGTTGTTCAGGTTGCAAGGAAGCTATTTTAAGAAATAATTCCTCAGTTTTCTATGTGAATGAGGCACACGTGGAGCTTTTGAGATCACAGAATCCTCCAAATGTCGCCACAAATATTTCAAGGACAGTCCTTGCAAGGGCACACTTGTATTTTGGCCCGCGGGAGTACACTTTCAGAGTCCTTTCCCTCTGGGGCAGAGACAGCAGGTGAGCATGCACAAGGCTGGCAAGCTTTTTGGGCGTGCATGCTGCTGCCTGGGACAGTCCCCGAACCACACAAGTGCTGGCAGGTGTGGGCACGGAGCTCCCCATCCTTGGTGGGCACGTTCAGCAACTGTGGAGAGCGACGCGGACATTAGGGAGCTCCCCTGATTCTGTTCTCCTCGATGATTCCCTGTGCTTCCTGAGCTCTTGCATTTTCCTGGGATTTGGAAACTTTCCCACAAATGCTCCTGGTGCCTGCTTTTTTATTAATGTGGCCTAGTTGTCTCCAAGGCTTTTCAATCAGCAGTTGCAGATCTTCACTCCAGGGAGTGTCATTTCTCATCTGTTTTGCTCGTCCTGGCTGTTGTGAATGTATTACGTACCCAGACGTAAGACACTGGTAGCTACTGATGGACTACAGTAGAGATACATGCTCGTTGTAGAGAACTTGTAAAGTGTTATACAGAGAAACGCTGTGTAATGTTATACAGAGAAAATAAAAATCACTGACACCTGGGTTCGTTAGCAGATAGACTCTCTGTAGCTCCAGGATCCGTCAGCTTTAGTTCCATCACTTAGAATTCTGATGCTGGTCTTTTCCCTGTCTCTTTCATTGTTCTTGTTTTGATCGTTGTTTCTAAGCAATAATGATACAGAGAAAGATTCAAAACTGTGTGAACTCCTGTTGGCACGCAGCACCATAGGGTGTTTCTGACTTAATAGAAGCACTTCACAGAAGTTACCTCGGCCACGCCCTGACCCTTCCCACTTGCTGGTCTCAACCTGTGCGGAATGAAACACCTGGAAGGGGATGTTGTCTACCAGCCCTGCCGCAGGCCACCATGTGATCTCCATGTCCACGCCACTAGCTTCCTTTGTGCCTGATCAGTAAAATCTCAATAACGAATAACAGTTTTGCAGTGTTTTTAAAAAGGCATTTAGTGTAGGAATAGGAAGTATGAGAAACATTTCCATCAGGCACTGCTAGAGGCACTTCTGCGTTGAAGCTTGTAAACTCCACTAGCCTGGAGACAGGCAGCAACACATGCTGCCAGCAGAGCATGAAGGGCTTGTAGCTTCTTGAAACTCTTGGCTGAGCTGTACCACCAAATGGGCTCTAAATTCCTAGCAACCCAGGACACAAAGGTTGATGATTTATCCGAGGAATAAACACTACTCCATCGAATGTGAGTCATTTCTTTATGTGGAAAGAGCAAATAACACAAGGCACTTGTAAGATAACAGAGTACCAAATTGATCTGACGTTGATAATTGGATAGGTCCAGGATCCAGGTGGTTTGTATCCTTCACTGTGTATTACCTGAATAAGGTCCTTGTTAGTCCCAAGTGGACATGGTGGTATGACCCTGTAATTCCAGCACTCCCAGAGGCCAAGACAGGAGAATCCAAAGTTCAAGCCCAGTCTTACCATTTTGCACTTAGGGAGACCCTGTCTCAAAATAAAAGGGGTGGGGGCTGAGGATGTGTATGAGAACAAGGCTCAGTGTGAAGACCGTCAGTTCCATCCCCAGTACCAAACAGAAAAAATACAGTCTCCATCTGAAGGGATTGCAGCCTGTGGTTTGATGTAGCTTTCCTGGGCAGGTAGAAGTGGTTTCCCACAGTTCTCTGTAGACAGTTACTATGACCATGAGTGAGACGGTGGACAAAAAGGGCCATAGACACCATTGGCATGACAGAGAAGGCCTCGGCTGTGAGTCCCAGGCAGCTGAATGAGACCTTTGGGAAGAAGAACCAGGGTTCTTCTGGTGGTTATCATCACTGGGACTGCGAGCAACTAGACTGGATGGCCCTGTGGAAGCAGTAAGGTATTTATTTTTTTTTTTCATGCTCTTTAAAGAGATATAAGGCATGAGCAAAATACACAGCGAATGTTTAAAAACATTATTACAGGGAAAGTCATTGTCAGTAATTTCCCTCAGCACCCCGCCCCCCCTACACACACTTAGAACACACTCATCCCATCGTTCTCAGCGCTTTCTGGAACAGCTCTGGAGTCCTCTTTCCTGAGTGTCTTTAAACACCGTATTTTTAGATTACAGCTCATAATATGCAAGAGTATTGCACTTATTTCCAGTCTACAGTTTGATGAATTTTGGTGACTGTATGTAGTTGTATGGTCATTACCCAAGGTAAAATCTACAGTTATGTTCCTCTGAAAGTTGCCCTATGTTCTTATAACCAATCCTGGCCCTGACTATAGTAAGTCTGAACTGTTTCAGCCACAAGGTAGGAACCAGCGCTGTCCCCCTGTGGCTTTGCCTTGCCTCCTTGCAGTTAATTATAGAGGGCCCTGCTTGGTCCTCTTCACAGGCCAGGAAATTTATATTTGTAATCCCACGGAAAAGTTATGGGAATTCTAATGAATTAAGTCCAGTGTACCACTTCCAATGCAACCCATGGCGAGAATAAAGACACTAAGGCATATTTGTAGTTATGGGGAGCCAAGGGGTCCTACGTCCAGCCACAGTGATGGCCATCCCGAACAAAGGTCTCAACCCAGGGCTGAACCTGAGTTTTATTAATTCATGAAGAAGGGAGTGAGTTTTATTAATTCACGGGGGGTGGGGGTGACTGTGGGAATGGTGGGAAGTAGGTGAGTGCTGTGAGCTGGGCTACGTAGGAGGCCCAGAGTCACCTCTGCAGTATGTAGGGAGAAGGATATGCAGAAAGTAATCTGCATAACACAGTTGAGGTGGTATCTAATGTTTTGGGGTCGGTGCTTCAGCTCTGATGTGTAGTCTTTCAAACCCCAGGAAGTCATAGCCTCTATCCCAAGGCTCCACAGCGTGGAGCACTGGCTCTTTTTCCATCTCCCCTTGTCCTGGCTCACAAGGGAACAACGGGTGGGGGTTCCAGGGAAACACTGGCTGCTGTCTTCACAGACAACCGTCGGCACCTCGGCTGAATTGAAGGGATAAGGAAAAGTCCTGGCCAACTCTGCACATATCAGCACGTGGAAGTAGGGCCAGGTTCAGCCAAACTGGAGACTGTTGTTCCTCCTTCCAGGAGAGTCGCCCACGTGGTCCTCCACACTTAATTCCCTTCTACTGGGTCTACTTTTGCCTTTTCTAGGATTTTATACCCCTAAATTAAATTCTTTCACTGAAGAAGCACTATTGAAGTTTCTTTCTTCTCGAGTCAGGTCTGTTCCTCCACATCTTTCAAAGGCTTTGCCTATTTCGGCGGGTTGTCCAATTCATTGGCACGAAGTGTAGGTCTTTGTAGGCCCTTAAAGTCCACAAGGTTTATAGCGATGTCCCCTCTCTCCGTGTCCTATGCATTGATATTTCAGAGAAGATTCACACCCAATATGAGTTTGCACCCCCTTTTATCCACGTTGTAGTAGGTACCCCTTTTGTCTGCCCACTGTATCCCTTCGTGGGGGCTGAGCTAGTGAGGTATAGCAGGAGAGATGACCTTGGAATTGAGCAGAGGTGGCCTGAACTCAAGCCTCGCTCCAGCCTCATCACGTGGTACAGGTTATTTAGCCGCTGCAGGTCTTCACTACACTCTTCGTTTGACATGAGCAGAAAATGCCAGGTGGCGGGGAGGTGGCGCAGTCACTGTGCCAGTGGCTGTTGACGGACGATGTGACAGTGTGGCCCAAGTCCTGCTGTCCAGAGACCAGAACACCTCGGGGATTTTAGAGTCACGGAAGCTTTCGGAGCCACCGGAGGCCCCTGGTTTTCTCCACCTTGATGTCTGTGTTTTGGGTTCTGTACAACTAGAATCTTTGGGTTTGGGTGCTGAGATACACATTATTGAAACATGGCCAATTGATCTAAAATTCCTTTTAGCATCGAGTAAATTGGCACAAGTGTGACTGAGGGTGACGTCTGTGTGGACAAACAAGGTAGAGAATCAAAGACATTTAAAACAGAATCACAGAGGTGTATTCTTTATCTCTTTTTGAATTTTACCTCCTTTCTGTTTCCTAAGGACCCTGATTTTCCCCTTCCTGATCCGAGGAGGAAAGCCAACACCGCTGTTCACCTGTGTATTAGCCTTCCTGTTCTGTGTCTATAACGGCTACTTGCAGAGCAGGTACCTGAGCCGGTATGCCGTGTACGCTGAGGACTGGGTGACCCAACCCCACTTTTTAGCTGGTGAGTGCCCTCCGGCAGTCACTGCCATGCCCCAGGGATTCGAGCCAGAATGCCCAGGCTCTGAGAGAACCAGGAGGCTGTTGTGTGAACACCCCAGAAAACAGAGCAGCCAGGGGAGGACTGAGGCTGTCCCCACGTAGTGCGGGGGCTGGAAGGATGCTTTCAGCGGACACACAGGTGCTGCTCTTGCTTGGAGCCTGGGCCTTGTGGGGAGCCCCAGCCAAGAAACTGGGGCTCAGATGGAGGAGAACCTAGTTCCTGTTCACCCTGTAACCTGAGATGGTCCGCTAGCCTCTCAGCGTCTTCTGTAAATGAGATAGGATATCTTCCAACAGTGCAGGCAACCTTTCATGATTATGCTATCTTGAATTAACTGTGAGGCTTGTGAAGGTTTTTAGCTTTTTAAAAAAATCATTGCAATTAGTGTAAGTTAATGTGTGCTTCCAGGTTCTCATTACAGCATTGTAAGTTTTGACTAGAAGTGAAATAAGCCATTTGCTATCAAAATAATCTCAAAATCATGAAAAATGCTTAATGTATCAGTCAGTTTTTCCATTGCTGGAAAAAATGCCTGACATACAAGACTTAAAGGAGAAAAGGCGTAATGTGGCTTATGGTTTCAGAGTGTGTATTCCATGGTCTGCTGGCTCCAAGGCAGGGGCATCGTTGGCCAAATGACGTAGCAGAGGAGCACTGCTCAGCTCATGGCGGCTGGGAAGCAGAAAGACAGGGAGAGGGCCAGAGAAAGAGGAGCGGGTAGGGAAAGAGTACACCCTTCCAGGTCTCACCTCCAGTAACCTGCTCCCCCTGACCCCCATCTCCTACGTTGGGGGTAGTGACTCTTTGAGGGCCATTTCTTATTTAAACTGTAACAATCTCAGGCATGTTATGTAGAAGGAAGGTTCTTTGAGGTGTTCGTCTAGCATGCCCTGTAATGCTTAGAAATGGGTGCACATGGACATGTCCCTTACCCCAGTGGCAGCACATCAAGAGTCTTGGCTTGGTCTGTCAAATCCTAAAGCTACCCTGTGGAACTTAAATCTTAAGGTACATTAAGTGCCCTACATTATATTATGCTTTCTCTGTGTTTTTTGTTTGTTTGTTTTGTCTTTTTGAGACGAGATCTCTCTATGCAGTTCAGGCTGGCCTCAAAGTTGGGTGTGGTGGTGCACCCTTGTAATCCCAGCACTCGGGAAGCTGAGGCAGGAGGATCGTTGCGAGTTCAAGACCGGCCTGGGCTACAAAGTGAATTCAAGGCCAGTCTGAACTACGTAGGGAGAACTTGTCTCAAAAAAGACAAAAAAAAAAAAAACCCAAACAAGATGACCTCGAACTCAAAACGATCCTCCTGCTTCAGCCTCCTGAGTACTGGGATTACAGGCATGCACCACCACACCCAGCTTGCTTTCTCTTTATGTAAAGGAATTTATAATAACACAAAAACTAACTCTTGCATAGTACTTTCTTGCTGACAAGTTCCCATTCTCAGTCATATTTTTTAGAGAATAAGAGCTTTATTTCCAGGAAATGCTGTGTTGTACCTGACAGATGACGCAGTGGGCAGTCTGTGTCCTTCTCTGTTGAGTGAGTGGGGTGAGAAGTGTCCCCAGAGCCTTTACTAACCTGGCAGTTGGTGCCTGCATGAAAGGCTGGACTTTCTTGAGTTGTACCATAGCTCCACAGAACTGCTTGATTTTCTGGCTTCTCAGCTACCTGAGTGTCTTCTGCCCCAAGAATGAGAAGGCAGGAAACCAAGCTTTTGAGGTCTGGAGGCACTGACTTCATGCCTCCCCATGAGCTTCTGGGGGGCCAGTCAGAGGTCTGCAGGGAACCCAGATCTTAGTCCAGACCCACCAAGCGGTGACTCTAACCAGCTCCCTGTGACCACAGCCCAGAAGTGGGTGCAGAACAAAAGAAGAAGGGGAATCACTGTTTCTTTTTTCTTTTTAACTAAGAGACCTAGGCTTTAAATGCTTATATGGTTGATATTCTCATAGGAATCATTTCTATAATGAATTGTTTGGAAAGAATCCTTTTGGTCTGTGTATTTGAATATCATTCAGAGTCGCTTTGCAGATAGGCCACACCCACTGGGGGTGGATGCCTTTAAAGCTGGTGTGGAATTTGAGACATTGATAAACTGTGCACCAGACGCACCTGTTGATCTCTCTACCATCAGATGGAATGATGTGAAAATGAAAAAACACCGAGTAAGAAATACAGGTCACCTCTTTTTGTGTGCTCATTGAGTAAAATGTTTTTGTGGGGAACACACATGAGGTTGCACAGGTAATTAGTTACCCTCAGTATATTTACAGGGACGAGGTAGCAAACAACAATAATAAAGTTCTAACAAAAACTTTCCATAATAGTAAAAGCGGTTAATCTAAAATATTTTTCAACCTAAATAATAGAGATTCTGCAAGAATTTTACTTCTTTGGGGATAGAATAGCACCGCAGTGGGAATACAGTGCTGTCACAAACCGTGAGTGTATTTAAAGCCATTGAGGCAAGGCGATATTATTAAGAACAAAACAGGAAGATTGCACAGGATACTTTGCAGTGATGGTACTTGGCTCTGAGGTACAGTAACGAGGGTGTTACTGTTCCAGAGTTAAGCAGTGTGAGGCAGAAATATTTACGAGTAACTTTAAAGGCAGTGTTGTGCAAGATCATGATTACAGTTAAATCTTTCCATAATTCTCTTTATCAGTCACACATGCGTGATAGCCCTTCTTTCCGACCTGTCTTTACTTACTCATATCTATTTTTGTCAGGGCTTATCAAAAGTGACTCCGTGTTGAGTCTGACAGTATCCACAGATTTTATAACAAGATTTTTAGGTCCCTACAAATGGAGTAAATGTTCATCTTAGATGTGCACAAAGACTAATTTTCTTCCAACCTATTTGACAAGGGGAGCTTGTCTCCTAGAAGGGACGTAAACTAAGCATGGAACTTAGCATGATGCTTTCTGGAATCTTGGATTGGAAGCCACTTCACACTGAGGAATAACATGCTGAAATCCAAAATGGGTAGTGAACCTATTATAAACTTACAAATCCCCTAAGTGACTTTGTCTTGGTTACTTTTCTCTCGTTGCTGAGACAAAATACCCAACGCCGAAAATGAAGGAAGGAAAGGTTTATTTAGCTTACAGTTTGTGGAGGTTTCAGTCCATACTTGGCTGGCTCCAAGGCAAAAGGTAGCAAAGCAACAAGAGCAAAGGGGGGAATGGCAGCCGAACAGCAAACAGCCAGAGCAAACCGGAGGAATGGCGGCAAGCAGCTTCTTTTTCCCTGCCTTACTTTGTAAACAGGCTACCCCCACCTAAGGGGCGTGCAGCTCTCACATAATCTTTGCCCTCCTCTTCCACAGGCTCAGGATGTATACAAAGTAAGTATCCTGGCTTCCTGCTAAGTCACTTAGCCAAACCTCTAGACTCCCCAAGTTGACACAATGTTTCAACCATAACAGACTTGTAAAAGGTATTTCACTATCTAGTAGAAATGCTTAGGAAAGAAAGCCACTTACAGTGGCAAAGTCCAGAGGAGGAAATCTTAAAACACTTTCTGTAGACCACAAGGCTTTCCTTGCTCCATTCTAACTGTACAGGAGTACTCCTTTTCATTGGAACAGTGATAATTAAAATGTCACCCAGGCACACATTTTTCAATATCAGATGGAGGACTGTCTGCTTTGTATACTTTTTAGTATATCAGAAAAATCAAATCAACCTCTTTTTAAAAGTGAGTTACTATACTTCTCAGATAAAGAAATGCAAATGGCAAATAAATATAGGAAAGTGTTCAACCTCACTGGATATTCAAGAGATGCTAATTAAAAAACACTGAGATTCCATCTCACCCTAGAAAGAATGGCTATCATCATGATATCAGCCAGTAACCAATGCTGGCGGTGCTGCAGGGTTCAGGACCGGACCAGGTGAAGACGCAGCACCGAGGCCGTTTGGAAGGCAGACAGCTTTATTACAGTAGCGGACTGGGGGACATCGAGGTCCAAATCACCAGCCCCATTTTGAGGTTACTTATTGTTTATATAGGTATTCAGGATAAAGGCAGGTAACATTACATTCTGCAGTTGATTACACGTCTTTGTTACTAATTGCTAGGCAGAGTTTACTCTTACTCTTTCAGGAACTAATAAGGTAACTGTCCTGTATCGTTGGAGAATCAGTCATTGTCTGAGAATGGGGAGAGGTGTCCTTGAGGCGATAACTCGGACCTAAAAGTAAGAAAAACATCACTGTCTGGCTAAATTGCACTTACCTCGCAGCCGGCTCTGGGAGCACCATGGCTCGTTAAGTTTTGTAGTTCTCTAATTACGAGAATCAACTGCGTTTCCCAGTCTCATCCTTGAACAGTGTTAGAGATATACTAGTGTTAGAAAGACAGGATTAAAACTGTCATTACATTTAAAATGGCCCCTACATTCCCCCCTTTTTATTTACACTGAAATCTCATTTTCTCCAGTCTCAAGAAGCTGATAGGAGGAAGAAGCAGCCTTTGAGAGTTGTTGATGTATGGCTTCGAATCTTTTAGACAGAAACCCGGTCAGAAATTGAATCACACAGGGCCTAGAAGAATGGACAAGAGAGTCACTATCGTCCCTAAACAGTGTTCCTGTCCAAGAAGGGAGAAAATCCAGGGATCCCCGCCAGAAGGAACTCCTATCCTGTTTTTGATGGGATCTGGGGTAAACCAGAGGGTTCCAGTTACCAGGGTAGATGTTTAGATCTGGGGCCAGGACAGCAGTGTCACAGAGGCTCATGTTCTGATGAAAGAAGAGGTAGACCCCATCGCAACGTATGGAGAAAGTTCCAGCGGTTGCCTGTAGTGAGGTGCTGGGCCAGGTTACAGAGGCGCAGTTAGTGGACACATTTTGGGAGTCTTTATAGCCCAAGAAGCACATGGTGTTTTTCCTTATTTGGGATGGAGAGACTCGGAGTCACACCACTAAGGACTGAGTAATATTGAACC